CCAGATATGGCACTATCAGATTACCATATTTTTCGTTCAGTGCAACACCATCTTAATGGGAAAACGTATGCAAATGTGGAAGGTGTTAAAGACGACATCTACAAGTTTTTTTTGCTTCAAAGCCAAGTGATTTCTTTAATTAGGGCATTGACAACCTGACTGTAAGATGGAAAAGCATCACCGATAAGAATGGAGACTATTTCATCTAACAAATGTTTTGTTTTGATATATAAGTTGTTCGGGTTTTTTGATCTAACAAAAGTGGCATTAATTTCTTGACGACCTAATACATTATGCACGGACATTAACACTTCAATCCATATACAGTATTTACATTATTCAACATGAAAATGCACTTGTAAATTTGAAAAATTAATATAGAGAAACTAAATAACAAAATTCATGTAATTCTGAAGTTTAACACTCAAATCATCAAAATTAGTTTTTCTTTAAAAAGGTTAGTCCAGAACTCCCAGTTGTTATGTTACTGCTCCTCAAGCAGTAGAACAAAATCTTTACACGACCTGCAAGGGTCAGGTGCTATTCGAGACCGCTTCCTCCTAGAAAACACAAAAGGTTTGGTTTGTTTTGTATTTCGCGCAAAGCTACACGAGGGCTATCTGCGCTAGCCGTCCCTAATTTAGAAGTGATAGACTAGAGGGAAGACTAGTCAACACTACCCACAGCCAACTCTTAGGCTACTCTTTTACAAACGAATAGTGCGATTGACGGTCATATTATAATTCCCTCACGGTTGAAAGGGTGAGCATGTTCGGTGACGGAGATTCGAACCCACGACCCTCGGACTGTGAGTCGAACGCCCTTATCCACCAGACCATACCAGGCCCAAAACACAATACTTGTAAAACCACATACCAACATGATTCCTGAAATGGTAAAAAGCCTCGAAACCAGTTCCATCAAATCGGTTGTTTGACTTGAACGTCACTCGGAAGAAGTTTCCATCGGACTGGATTTTTTTCGGTTTCTGGATGCCGCAGTGGCGGTGAACGCCCATGTCGACTTTCCTGAAGTTGGAAAATTCAACGTAATCGCTAGCTGTGTCCATTGTACACCTGGAATGTATAAGAACTATTGAAATTTCGGCGTATTTTCTAATTAAAAGAAAACGAATATATCTGACTGGCGTCTTTTCTAAATTCATTACAAGCACGATTTAAAGAGAAAAAATAATGTATTTTCTAGTTTCATGTGCATCAGTAGGTATATTTTTTGTTACACAATGTCATAAACGTTTATCAATAAACTTATAAGACTTAAATTTGGTAGACAAAAGTGGCTTTTTTTCTCACTATTTTGTTTTTTTATCGAATTTCACTTGCCCAGTGATAATAATAAATAAAAGGAAAACTCCTTTCACTACATCATCCTTTCCTTTCTTTTGTAAACAAAAAGAGAAATATTTTCTCAGGAAGTCCATAAACAATGAAATCGAAAAATGTTTATAAGAGTGTCGTTTTTTATTTCAGTTGTACAGATCTAAAGTACGCCACTAAAGGCAATAAAACGTTAAAACTGAAATGTAGCTGTAACTTAACATAACTGATTCTGTGCAATGTTGTTCAACGGCATTTCTCTTTTATTCGGTAAATTAACTCTTTTTGTTTATTCAAATAGCTTTACAGGCGTTAAGTAGAAAATCGGTGAGTTCTATGCGTCGCTTTTCACTTTATTGATTCAATGATTTTAATCAAAGAACTCAATGATGTCAACATGGAACTTTCTCTAAAATTTAGTATAAACAATGGCTTTAATAATATGTAAGCCAAGAATACAATTCACATTTAGTCGTATTCTGCCTAGTAATAAATCAAGCAGTCTTGTTAAATTATAGTTAAGCCTTTAGGCTCTTCAACCTTTGATATCTAAAAGCCTAAAAGCCTTTTGAGCGATTCTGTAGGCATGTAGCTAAGCCTATATTAATTTATTTTAACACTTACGGTGTCACGCCTTCTACGTCGAAATAAGCAAACGTGATGTGAACTCTCTCAGTGTCCCTGCCGTAGAAGAAAAAATGACACTCACTGTCACGTGGGTAGAGTCCTGGGTAGTTGGGTGATGTGAAGCTTCCGTTTGACCTCTCCCAACTATTGAAGACATAGCCACAAACTACGGGAAAAAAGGGTACCATACGTGTTTATAATGAAACCCTTACGATATGTTACATAGGTTTTCGGCGTCCGAAATAATCAGAGAAACGGGACACACACGCGCATACAGTAATCTAGCTATGTAATGTGTCACACATGTGTTACTCCTTTAGTTTGAACGCGACACATCCATGTGTAGCGCTAAAGTAGTCTAGTGTTCCCTATTTCACACATGTATCCAGTTTCAACAAGTTTTACGAATCTTCTACCGTTTATTGTGCCACAAATTTTTATTGTTAAGCCTATCATACATGTTTATTTAGTGAAAAATCTGAGGTGTGAAGTAACACTGCTTAGTTAATCTGTTACAAACATTTGATTAGTAGATGCTAACATTAATATGACACACACGCGTCTAGGATACTTATGCAGTTGTGTACACATTTAGTGAGGGTTCCATACTTAAGTGTGTCACACACACACATATACACTTAGGTTAAGGTTTAAAAATAAATTTAAACAGTTTCATGTGTCATTCATTTGTTTAGTGAAAATCTTTTCATGAAATGAAGAATTTAATTTGTCTCCTATCTGGTTAGAGAGAATTCTACAGTTTCATGTTTTTAAATGAAACATCTGAAATTTAATTAATGTGACACCCATTTGCTCAATGGAAAACCTAAGTTATTGTAATTTTTAATAAAACAGCTGCAATTTACCCCCCCCCCCATGATTGTTAATTTAGCCATAACAGGTGATATCTAAAGTGAGCTTCACAGTTTGTATTGTAACAACAAAGTTAAGTACAAAGCTACACAAAGGGGTATCTGTGCTCTGCCCACCACAGGTATCGAACCCGCGCTGTAAGTCTGCAGACAAACCGCTGTGCCACTGAGGGGCATGGTTGGCGAGAACCCTATAGTCTCGTGTATTTTCGTTTATAGACTGTCCACAGTTTAATTTGCCTCACTCAAGTTTTCAGTTGTTTAATACTCAGCTTTTATGGATATTTCTATAAAACAAAACTTGTGTGGGTTTGTATTTAGCCTTCCTATTTAACCGCTGGCTGGTACGTGCTGTACTTATTCGTTATAAACCCAGTACGATCCGATATAAATCCAAAACATTGTTAAACTGTGTTGTTAAAACAGAAGTAACTATATACTATCAGGTAAAGGTAAAAGTGATTATACAATGTCAAGAATGATAGAGTAATAAATAAATAAATACTGCCAGTCGTTGTCATATTTTAGAAGCTTGTACGATTATCTAAGTCTAATTATTAATTAGCAACTACTTTATAGTTAATTTATTTTTATTTATTTCTATATTTTTGATATATTGTTACTATTATTTTATATCTAGTTATTAATTAAAAAATTATGTTATATCGTATAGTTAGGCTGTCAGTCTGCTCTGTCTTCAGTTAAGTCTTGACACAAACTAGTTCGTTTTATAATTATATAAAAAAATAATAATAAAATAAATTAGTTACTGATTAATATTTAAAAGTGCGTGATCGTAGAAACTTACAGAGAGCTGAATACATTATATCAAAACGATTTCGGAGCCACACCACATTGTTACCGTCCATGTCGCCACGTACGTTTATGCCCTGTCTGAAAATCGAGTATCTTGTCAATAACTCTGCAGTGTAGTTTCCATTGCAAAAAGGCTCTGTTGTAAGGCTATATAATCTCCAAAACACACAATTTCTCTGTAATTCATCTTGGGAAATTGGCTTTCTCGTACGCCTGTTTCAAAAGTCTAATCATAGAGAAATCTGATATGTCTTCGTATGAAAAAGCATTCTCTAGCTCTTTGAGGTATACGACAGTTGAAGTGGAGGTATGACCTATCTTGATTATCCCATACCCTGTTGACCTTGTTTCCAGACGGACATACTTTTGATCATTTTGCATACTGTTGTATGAGGCGCATGGACGGCTTTTGCCACTGATTCTCACTTGTTAAAATACGCTGAACTTTGCTTCTGACGACTGGAGTAGATCTTGTTGTAGGTCTCTTTCTGGATGGTCCTGGTGTCCCAGGTTAACACATATTTCTTTCTTTTCCAAAGTTGTTAAGTACTAGAGATATCACCATTTTGGATATTATAAATCCTCTATTTGAACATAACTTTTATTATCTGAATGTATGATGTTGGAAAGAGGTGCTACATACACTTCAACAAAACAATACATTTTCGGTGGCATCATACTACCTCGTAACACTAAACAATATCAATATGTAATTCTGGTACATTACTTTTCACCGCGACTTTATATTGGCTGTGGTTGTCACATGACTTGCATGAGTTTGCATATTGAAAATCGTTTTGATATAAAGTGTTCAGTCCTGTAAAATATAACAATAGTTGATGCCCGATCGCCACGACCTTACCCCGAGTACTTTAATATTCTTAGATAAGGTAAACAAATAAAATTATATGAAGTAGCATAAATAAAAACAGCAGTTGTTTTCAACTACTATATCAACACGTATATATATATATATTAGTTTCATTACCTGACTGGTTGTCTTGGGATCCCACATTTATACCGAAATCTAAAGAAAAATAGACAAACGCATTTCGTTCTTTTATATACTTTCATAAACGACTAAACTGTAATGAAATGTTACTTATTTTACATTGAATGTAGCAAAACAAACCTAACAAACCTAACACTCTGGAAAAGTATCTGATATTGTTTCATTGGTACTTTACCATTAATAGTGATGTCGAAGAAAATTTTTTATCTGACATTTCTTTATTGTTTCAAGCGATTAGATAGTTCTCCTCCAACAAATTTAGGTATATTAGACAGACAGAAAGAAAGAAGAGAGCGATATAAAAACAGAGAAATATTACAAAATGGAGATTTATATCAGATATGAAAAAAATAATCAAAAATGAAGGGCTTTCAGGAAACAAAAAACAAATAATTATTCTGTTAGAAACACATTAATCTTCCTTAACAGAAAGTGAAAAATGCATGTGTCTTAATGATATGACAAAATAATATAGGGCATTGATAGAACAACATTTCGAACCCCGAGACAAGCTAATTCGCAATCCAGACTTTAACTAGACATGCGCGTTGAAAAGTAATCCCTACTCAAAATCGTAAATTTATCACTTATCATGTCTCACTCTGGTGGTCAAAGCTATCTATGTGGGTACAACAGGACGGTTAGTTTACCATACACATGAACTCAAGAAAGGCCAAGACACTTCATCCTAATAAATTTGTGTTTCGAGGATGGACGTATCCCTCCTTCAATAATAATAATACACTGAATAAAACAGGTACAGTGTGTTTGATATGTTATTATAAATTCTTCTTTAATTTCACTCGAAAGTTTGTGTTATTAATGATATCCACGGAATAATATAATATAGGCAATGCAAAGCTCTTGACGTTTACGATAAAACAACAGTAACAAACAAACAAACAAAAACACTGATATTTTATTTCTAAAAGGATTTAATAAAGATTTATAATACCTATTTTGTAAAAATATCTAATAAACAGATTCAACAACAAATTTTTACTCTTAATATTTTTCTTTTTTTTTACCAGGAGAGATTAAAACAAATCATTTCTATTTAGGAATTACCAGGTCACATACTGGTGACAAACCGGTAGATGGCGTGGAAGCCCCTTGCAGAGGTAGTTGATTCGAGACTTTGAAATTCGAGAGTCATGGAAGGCCCGTTGGCCATAAGTTGTGGTGGGATGGTTCGACCACAAAATCTGTCGATCCGCCTCTTCTCACCGTTGATGTTAATGAATGCCACCAAATTATCAACATCTTCACATCTGAAACCAATACGTTTTCGCTTAAGGAATTCAAAATTAAGGTCTAGAAAGCAAACACTGAATTTGATTAAAATGCTTGAAAGATATAGTTAAGAAGTAGAGCAAAGTCAAATATGAGCTAAAAGTGAAGCGATTTTATCGATTTAATAATAACGTTAATCTTTCTCATGTTTGAAATTCAGTTATAATTTTTTTCTACAAGCGGGGTCTGGCATGGTCTGATCGTTAGTATACTCAACTTACAACCTGCAAATCGCGGGTTCGAATCCTCTTCATCGAACATGTTCGCCCTTTCGGGCGTGGGGGCATTATAATGTAACGGTCAATCCCACTATTCGTCGGTAGAAAATTATCCCAAGAGTTGGCGACGGGTAAGTAGCTACCTTCCCTCTAGCCTATCACTACTAAGTTAAGGACGACTAGCGCAGATAGCCCTGGAGTAGTTTTACACGAAATTTGAAAGTAACAACCGAACAATTCTTCGAGTGGTATTAGTTTTAAAATTCTGTGGAAGATTTAGCCACGATTGTAAGTTTTGTCTATTGTGTGTAACCTTCTGCAGAAAATTTGTCTAAGAGCCGTCGGCTTGTGTATTGGGTTTAAATTTCTAATGAAGATTTCTCTACGAGCGGTAGCTGACGTATTAGTTTTAAATTTCTGCGTGAGATTTCTCTATAAGTGGTAAGCTACTGTATCAGTTTCAAAGCTCTACGAATGGTAAGCTACTGTATCAGTTCCAAAGCTCTATGTAAGATGATTGTTTGTGATTGGTAGGCTGATATATAAGTTCCAAAACTCTGTGTAAAATGATTGCGAATGGTAGGTTGATGTATCAATTCCAAAGTTATGTGTAATAATGATTGTTGTACAAATGGTAGGCTAATGTATCAATCTCAAAGCTATGTGTAAAATGATTGTTCTACGAATGGTAGACTGATGTATTAGTTCCAAAGCTCTGTATTAGATGATTGTGAATGGTAGGCTGATGTATCAGTTCCAAAGCTCTGTATTAGATGATTGTGAATGGTAGACTGATGTATCAGTTCCAAAGCTCTGTATTAGATGATTGTGAATGGTAGGCTGATGTATCAATTCCAAAGCTATGTGTAATAATGATTGTTGTACAAATGGTAGGCTAATGTATCAATCTCAAAGCCATGTGTAAAATGATTGTTCTACGAATGGTAGACTGATGTATTAGTTCCAAAGCTCTGTATTAGATGATTGTTCTACGAATGGTAGACTGATGTATTAGTTCCAAAGCTCTGTATTAGATGATTGTTCTACGAATGGTAGACTGATGTATCAATTCCAAAGTTCTCTATTAGATGATTATCTGTGAATGGTAGGCTGATGTATCTGTTCCAGAGTTCTCTATTAGATGATTATCTGTGAATGGTAAGCTGATGTATCAGCTCTAAAGCTCTGTGGAAGATGACTGTCTACGAACAATAGGCTGATGTACCAGTTTCAAAGCTCTCTGGAAGATAATTGTCTAGGAACAGTCGGCTGATATATCAGTTCTATAGCTCTATGGTAGTTTTGTCTCAAAGTGGCAGGCTATTGTATTTGTCCCAAAGTTCTCTGAGAAATTGTTATTATTAGCCGCGGCATAGCGGCTCATTGAATGGCTCTGGGTTTTCCAAGTACAAACTTTTAGCTTACACCTCCGTCATCTCTTGACCGATTTGAGATCTAATTACAGTTTTGGACTAAGGAAGTCAAAGCCTTTCGATTGGTGCATTTAACCATGCCCAAGGTTTCATAGATTAATTTACTCTAATCCTGCCTCAAAGAATTTCATTTTGAGGGTAGGCTGGTAAAGATCCTGATAAGTAATTGAATTGAATCGGGTATGCGCGCTCCCCACATTTGATATTGCTGGCGCACAAAAATATAGGTACTAATAAGAAAAAAAAAAGTTTCATAGGTTAATTTACTATAATTCTGCCTGAAAGAATTTCAAGTGCCGTGGCTATTGAGGATTCCCTCTTCTTTCTGTGTCACGAAATACATGAAAATTCATTTAGGTATGCCAAAAAGTTAACGTAGGTTTGTTTGTTAGTTTTTTTTATTAGCGCAAAGCTCTCTAATGAGCTATCTGTACTATGTCCACCTTGGAGAATCGTACTCCGGATTTTAGCATTGTAAGTCTTGAAACTTACCGCTGACCCATGACCATTCTCCGCTCCACAATTAGAATCTGTGAAACTATTTCATTTTGTTTCGAAATATGACAATTTAATTAGTAACACTTTGTTTTTGTTCCAGGCTAGTTAATACTACAGCACAGGAAATGTAGCACTCATAAACGTTTTATTTTATTTTTTAATTAAAATTTACAAGCGAATTTCTCTTTCAAGATTTTCCCAATAAAAATGTTCTAATGGTAGGAAATATATTTGCGAATATGATGATGCATCAATCTTTTTTTTCTTTATTTGTTTTTCTTGGCCTACGAAGCAAAACCAAATATTTTTGAGCACCTGGTATGTTCAATGGTATTCAATGGTAACATGAGTATTAACGTAATTTAAACGACAAATAACTTGACAACGTTTCTTGTTAATTTTATATCTGATATCGGCACGAATTTTATTATCTTTACAAAACTTTCAGTATCCTGATTTCAGAAGTTTCATAATTATATCCAACTTTCCCCTGGCGGCAGTTTAGTGTAATAAAATTTGATCTAACAGAGACACACATATACATACAAGACTGGTTGCTTGGTGACCAAGTACGCATTGGCTGATGAACTATTTCAACAACAAGCTTTCACTAGAAATTAACTGAAATGATCAATTAAGATAATTACAACTCGAGACAAAATTAATCAGAAAGGACACTGTATACAACTAATTGTTGAACGTATTTATATCCAGCACATGACTTGAAGCAACTCCGCTCATAAAATAATCTGTACTGTTATCCTTTGCTCTTAGCCAAATACCAGCTTTCTTTTTTTTTTTTAAATCAACACATTTTAGGGATTTTGTTAACAACAGAAAATTGATCCTTCGATGACATATAGTTTTATTTAAAGATTCTACATCCAAACCTGTTGGATCTTTTCCAGATCTGTCCAATAAAAAACAAAAACAATAAGCCTTGGGAACCAGAGCAGTTGTTCTGTGGAACTACAAACAAAAGAGACCAAGCAAATATGCTTAATAAAGAAAAAAATAATACGATGAGGATTACATATATGTAAAAGGCTTGCGTATTTATTGTAGTCTCATACAAACATAAACAAACTCAACAGAACAATCGTCAAGTGATTAAATTTTGGTTACATTAACAACCCAATTATATTAATGCAGGGTTTATTAGGTCTCTATTGGAGTAAAACTGCACCCCGTAAAAACCAACCTGCTACAAGTAACTGCAACAACACCTTCCGTTGGCGAGGTGTTGTTGCGGCTCTATGCTCCACTGGGAGTTTACAGGAACAATAGAAAAAAAGGTGTTATTAAGTCTTGACTGAAGTTAAAACTCACCAAAGTACGGTTATTTTTAAATTAAGGTTTTACTAAGACTCGATTGAAGTTAAAACTTCCTAAAGTATGTTTATTTATTTTTAACTAAGGTTGTACTAAGTCTTGACTGAAGTTAAAACTCACCAAAGTGCGGTTAGTTTTAAATGAATGTTTTACTAAGTCTTGACTAAAGTTAAAACTCACCATAGCACAGTTATTTTTACGAGTATATTAATGTTTTGCTATGTGTTGGTTGAAGTAAAAATCTACAATTGAATTGGATTAGTTTTAAAGTAATTATAGTAAAAATAGTTAAAGTGAGCTTGGTGTTTTACTTTAAAGCTAAAATAAACCCCAATTCGAGTGAGTGCTCAAAACTGAGATCCTTCAGCCATTAATCAAAACTCAATAGAGAAGAAAGTAATGTGCTTTTTCTTCGTCCTATTTGTTGATCAGGAAATTCTACCCTTCCTGTGAAAGTCAACTGATTTCCCGTATTTATAATTCGGCTCCAAACACGAACTACTTTTGATACTTCTGTGTTAAAGAAACTACATGACTTGTATGAGATTTCAAACAAATGCTTTGATATGGTATTATCGACACATGTGCTCAGAAAAATCAAGTAGTTTTTACATAACTATCTGCTTTTGTAAACTAACGTTATTGGTTCTATCAGCCACACAAACCTTCTACAACGTATTTAAGGTATTCTAGCGGAGAAAACATATTCTACACACTTCCACTTACTTCCTGTTTATAGTAAACGGCATGAAGAGATCAAACTCTGTGAAGATGATCTGCACCCTCTCCTTACCCCTACTAGAGAACGTGTACGAGTAGTGGACGTTAGAGGTATAGGGTTTAGGGTAGTTAGGACTAGAGATGGTTCCGTTTCTGGAGACATCGCTGCTTATCCATTTATGGTAGTCTTGACCTATTTAAACAGTGAACTCGGAATCACTCCAAACACATATACTAAGATTAGTTATCATATAAGATAAGAGAATATTTAGGAAAACAGTAAGTTCATACAAAAAGACACAAATAAAGACTACAATACAAGATTACATCAGATATATAGGTAAAACAAAAATCGAAACTATTTTGTACAGACTTACAGAGCAAACTTTTTTCTTAATGTAAGTATATCATAGTTTAAACGCCGAAAACTGGCGAAGTGTAAAACATTTAATAGGCTTAAAATCTGTGATAAATTCACATTAACTGCAGTTAAAATAATTTACATCAATACTTTAAGGCCTTCAAGCATATTTTTAGATTAGAAGAATGGCCCGGCATGGCTAGGTGGTTAGGGCACTCGACTCGCAATCTGCGGGTCGCGGGTTCGAATCCCCGTCACACCAAACATGCTCGCCCTTTCAGCCCTGGGGGCGTTATAATGTGACGGTCAAAAGAGTAGCCCAAGAGTTGGCGGTGGGTGGTGATGACTAGCTGCCTTCCCTCTAGTCTTACACTGCTAAATTAGGGACGGCTAGCGCAGATAGCCCTCGTGTAGCTTTGCGCGAAATTCAAAAACAAACAAACAAACATTAGAAGAAACTATTTGAATAAAAATAATTACTTCATACAACACTTTTGGTGCTCACGAACACTTTAAAGTGGAGGAAAAAACTACGATTTTTATTTGAACTCTCATAAATGGTTGTTTTTCTGATAGACACAAAATATTACAATTCACCCCTGAAAAATAAAGACCTAGCGTTGGAAGGTGCTGGGTTGATAGGTTTATTTACTTTTGTGGTGTTACTAACCATAAATGAAGTTTATAAATGTCCTGATTGTTATTATAATATTCATAGTTCAATGTAAAAACCGGTTCTTCTAATTCTAATTACGTTATTTAGATATCAGTGTAATCTTTAATTCCTCTTATTGTAATTACAATATTTAGAGGTCATTGTAAAAACTGTTTTTTCTGACTGTAGTTATAATACTTAGAGGTCAATGTAAAAACTGGTTCTTCTGGTTAAAGTTACAATATTTAAAAGCCAATGTAAAAACAGATTCTTCTGATAATCGAAATATTTAGAAGCAGACCCTGCTTTAACAGATGGCTACTAAACTGGTAAATAGCAAAGATAAAAAAGTATCTAATTTCATATCTAGTTTCGGAAAAACTACAAAATCAGCACAACTTGACAGAGTAATAAAGGATGACGTTATAAAGTGACGGTCAATCCCACTATTCGTTAATAAAAGAGTAGCCCAAGAGTTGGCGGTGGGTGTTGATGAATAGCTGCCTTCCCTCCAGTCTTACACTGCTACACGAAGCCAATGAACTAGCGCAGATAGCCGTCGTGTAGCTTTGCGCGAAATTCAAAACAAACAAACAAACAGTAATCTGAGGGTTCAGTTAGGCCTAATTAAAAAGAATTGAGCTTAAGTACTTTTATTAGCGCGTAATTTCATTAAAGGTGTCACAGAAAAATCCCAACAAAGAAATAACTGTCAAAATATTTTGATTTGTTTTTTTACTTGTCAGAATTAACGGGAACTATGGTCAATAAATACGAGACTAGAATGAGCTACGATGTGATGCAGTGAATCCTACGGTCAAGTATATTTTCTACTCTCTCTATTTTAGCAGTCACGACCTTCTGTTGAAATACACTTTATATTAGTTCCTTGGGGAAAGTAAATTCAATTACCAGAGGAAGGTTTCTCTTAGTGAACGAGCTGACGTTTTTCTAGTAATCTCTCTTTACTACGGATGTGTATGCTTGTTAGGATCACTGAAATTTAGCTGTTCAGTCACTTGTGGTCAGACCTCATGAAACCCTTTTCTTGTTGTTTAGTGATGGACTCTGGAATACGGACTTCTCTTCGTAATTCTGTATGGAGGATCCTCGTGACTATTTTATCTGTAGCATTTGGTTGTGGGGGTGTTCATGTGTAGCTATGAGCACAATAATTTGTACAGAACATGGATAAATATGCTCATACTTAACAAAAATGCTATCAACAAAACATTAGTTTTGATTTAATATCTTTTGTGATTAGCACACAAAAGAGGTTTACTTTTTATTGTAATAAATATTGTACTTGAGTAGGTCATATTTGAAGATAATTTTTGTTTAGATATTTGTGTGTCTAATTATCCAGACGTTTCGCATTGCGGCTTAACGATCTACTGACTACAGAAGCAAGTTCAGACCGAAACGTCGAGGTAATACAGATATTTTTAGTGAAGAAAAACTGTGTCTATTGGACGTAATTACTTACAAGTGTACATGTCATCACTTTCAGTTTGCTTATCTGTCTGTTTCTTTACTTATTCCCAGCAAAGCGCTCATTGCGCTGCTGAAACAGGTTTATCTCTCTTTCTATTTATTCTTAACGTGTTAATGAGAGTGATTAGGCCTTTGATAGTTATAAATCACTCATCTATTCTAAGGGCTGACATCTACCATCCCAACGTTAAATTCATAGCATAATTGGTCTGATTAGCCTATGGCTTCAGTCTGTTAATCAGCAAAATCTATTCAGCGATTTCTACTTTCCTTAGCTTTAATGCGAACCTTAGACGAGGATGGATTTAACGTAAAAACTTTGAAAAGTTTTGTGTAATTTTTCAGATTTAAAAATTGTCTGTATAGAAGCTCAATAGTTTGGAATTGGTTGGTTCGTTTCTTTTAGAAAAAAAAAGTCATATTGGGCTATCAGCTGTGGAAAATCGAACCCCAGATGTTTGCGTTGTAAGACCGTAAACGTACCGTTGTCCCACCGGGGGACTTTTGAATTGGAGAAAAGCGCAAGTTTCAATTTCTCTAATGTATTAAATTTTAAGATAATGCTAAGTTACTTTGTTTTTGTTTGTGGTTTTATAAATATGCATGTTTGTAAAAAAAAAAAAGTCGATTTTTAAAAGTTTGCGTCTTGTGCTTAAAGTCACAATATTACGATTTGGCATCGACAGGTGATTTCAGCCGTTGAGGTTTTATAATGGGACGATCAGTCCCACTATTCGTTTTTAAAGAATAGCCTAAGAGTTGGCGATAGATGGTGTTGACTAGCCACCCTCCCTCTAGTCAAAATCAGGGACGGCTAGCGGAGATAACATCCGAGTATCTTCGCGCGAAACCTACCAAAAAAAAAAAAAACAAACAACAACAAACAAACTACATAACTGAGGTTTTCAGTATGAATGTTAGTTGGTAACGTTTCTAAAACCCGAATTTCACCCGAAACTACTGTAAAGTATTGATGAGGAAGCTACATCCAATAAAAGGTAATTCACAACATTCATTAGAAGGTATGACTTAAGTATGTGAAATCACACTTTAATGAAACGCAATGATTGCAAAAACTTCCGTTAAAATATTATTATAACATTGTAATTAATTGATCAATCTTCATTTAAAATCAGAATATAACTCTCACTTGCTTGTCACGTGTGTGGTAAATGTGAAACTTTACTGTTGATAGTCAACAAGAAGGGACATATCTATTGGAGTGTAATCACGCCTTTTTAAAAAACAAATGTCATCAATATCAATCAACATATACTGAAGTATGACCATACAAATGTTAGGGCACCAGCCATAAAAAACATATTTACAGCTAAAACAACAAATGAGTAATTTATAGATTTCATTAACTTAGAATGGTGGATGAATTTATAAAATATTAAGATGTTTTTCGAAAACTTACTGAGAAAGAAAGGCCGAGTCTATTTAATAACTTGTTTACTGATTACCTTAACGAAAGGATTTTTAGTTACTTCATATATGCCTTAATTGTTATAAAAACGAAAGTGTTATCCCCCTAATTGTTAATTGTTATAAAAACGAAAGTGTTATCCCCCTAATTGTTAATTGTTATAAAAACGAAAGTTTTATCCTCTTAATTGTTAATTGGTATAAAAATGAAAGTGTTATCCCTTTAATTGTTATAAAAAATGAAAGTGTTATCTCCTAATTAATTGATTGTAATAAGAAAAAGAAATTGTTATCCCCTTAATTGTTATAAAAAATCAAAATGTTATCCCCCGAATAATTAACCGTTATAGTAAAGAATGTTTAGCCCCTTTCTTAAAGTTTGATAAATATGCCAAGAGACTCAGTTGTGAGGATTAATATTTCTTAATAAGAGCAGTTGCTGCAACAGCTATTCAAGCATTGTAGTTGGATCATTTTGATAAAATTATAACCCTAATAAATGAAATACGCTTGACTTTCTTAAAAAAAGCAATTGTGAATATATATATATATATATATATAGACCTTTAAATATTATTAAAGGATTTGTATTGTTTTTTTGTAATTAAGCACAAAGCTACACAATGGGCTATCTGTGCTCTGCCCACCACGGGTATCGAAACCCGGATTCTAGCGTTATAAGTCCACAGACATACCGCTGTGCCACTGGGGGGCATTATTAAAGGATAATTCTAGATATTAAAACATTCTCATAAAGTAATAGTGTTGTAATATTCAATCTTCAAAAAAGGAATAATGTACGGTCACTTGATAAATCTGTTTGTGTTTGGAAAGGAAAGTGTATCTTTTGTGGCACAAGTCCGATATGGCCTTGTGATTAAAGTGTACATATGTGAATCTGAGGGTCCATGGTTTGCAGCCCCCGCCGCAAAATAGCAACCCACACTGTGGGACTATGGGCGCGTTATATGAGTGACGGTCATATTCCACTGTTCGATTACAGCAAACCAGTGCGGAATGCGATTTTGCTGCAACGGGACGTGAACCATTTACTCTCAGATTAACATTCCAGCAGGCTTACCACTAGGCCACGCCTGGCCCTATTTATAAAGAATACAAAAATGAGGGGTTTCTTAAGCATGTGTTTTGCTGCCAAGTTTAACAACATTTCATGAGACCAAGCAGATATATCGAATACAGATCGATAATAAATTTTTTTCTTCATCAACCTCTTCCTTCCTCATTATAAGAAACAGTGATCAAAAGACAGTGGTGCATTTTTCAAGACACTTTACTATGTTAGATATCTCGATGATAGTTTTCTCTTCTTTCACGATTTCATTTTCCTGGTAACGAATATGGTAGTATTATCTTCACAGTAGAACATCGAGAAAGCTTTTGGTTAGCAATTTTAGATATACATTTAATAGAGAACAACAATGACATATATATATATATATGTATGTGTGTGTAAAGTTTTCATAAACTGACCTTTATTGATCTTGATACGGTTTGGTTATAAAGTGGCAACCACACCATGATTTTTACTTAACGAGGTTGGTAATATCAATTGTGTTTTAAGTATAATGTTTCCACTGTTGTGCGTAAGTTGTATAAATAAATAGAACATCCCTCACAAGCCGAAATGGGATGTTCCAAGTTTTCGCTATGTGTAATGTTCAAACATGCGATGTAATTAAATAGCCAATTAGAGCTTGTTCATAGATACAATTATGACGAATTTCAAAACCTGAATGTAGGCTTAAGAATAGAATAATGGCGTTGAAAATATAGAATGTACAGTTTATAAATTCAAGTACTTATTCTATTAGGTGTTTGTTGCAAAGTGGCTCTAAGAACTCGCGTGAACATACATGTATATTGAAGGGAGAGATTAAAATCCAGTGTACTGGAAAATGCCTTCTACGAGTGTGATGTCGTTGTCTGTTCGAATTACGTTAAGATTGCAACTTAGGGTAACAAAAAAATCCGGTATTCTTATGAAAGATGAACTATTTTACTGTTTATCAGACTCAGCTCAGTCGGACCAGTATTGCAGTGACTGTAAAGTCGTGACGTAAAATACACATTGTGGAAAACGTAACATATTTAATTCAAGCCAGAAAATCGATAATACAGGTAGTGATACGCCTTTCTTTTCTTTTTTCGATTTTTAAAAATGTTCTTGAATTGAAGCATAGCCGAGGGCTTAGAATGGGAAATTATAATAAAACGTTTTATTTGTCTCTCGCGTTTATGATTTGGTGTGTTGAATTTATAATTATGTACGGTATCCACTTTTAAGTCCGAGCTCATACGGACCAATAAGAATGCAGATTAAGCACCAATGGTGAAAATTGATAAGCTTCACACAATACTAGCATAAGCTGGTTTTATCCGCGCGTGTGTGTGTGTGGGGGGGGGGGGGGGTATATGGAGAGTTTATTCTTTATAAATATTAAAGAAGCTGTGATGTGTACATTCTATGTGTACGGGTATTTGTGTTCGTATACAACGAATTAAGCACGTGCTCCGTTAGTCCCTGATGTACAGTTGACAGTGGTTGATAAGTGTACTGTATCAGCTGTTATTCGCACGTAAACTCGTTCTAATGTTAAAATGAACTACGTAATACATAGAGATAGATGTATATTATAATAGATATAAGGGAAGAACATAGAAGTGTGTTGATACGTAAAGTGAGGCACATATATCTTATGAATCTATAGATTAATACCGTAGTTAAATAAAGATAAGAAAATTAGATATATGATAGTTTAAATAAGTAGATAGAAAAATAGATAGGTGGATGGATGGATCCATTAATAATTTAGTTATTAAGCAGATCAGGGTGATTCAAATATTGTTACAATTACTTTTTTTGAGAGTTCGGTTCAGACTGATTTAAACGTTTAAAATGAACAAAGAATGTTTAATTAATACGCCTATTAAGAGTCTGTGATGCGTCTTATAAAGATAATTTCGATATTTTGGATAACTATGTTTCTGATACATGAAACGGTTGTTAACTATGTGGTGTTATCATTCCGTGGAGTGAATAATTGTGAGTTTTGAAGAGAGGACGTTTCATTTATATTACGTATAAATGAAACGTTCCTTAGTTTAAGTCCTAATTCTAAACCTATTGAATGCCCTGGAGCAAATATCCAAACTTTCATAATATATAAGACAAGTTCGAAACATTAAGGGTTTAACTATAGAGTTTCGAATGATTGCTACTCTCTATTCACAGATCTTCGACAGACGTGTACACTATACAATTGATCCAAACTTCTGATTTACCACTGGTTGGCTTGGCTCTGTAGTCTGTATCTAAAAATAAAGATCCAATCCTTCATATATATATATATATATATATGTGTGTGTGTGTTTGCTTGTGATTTCAGCGTTTACTGATCTGATTTTGTTCTACTGCAACGTTTGCGCTTAAAATTATTTTTGAAAGTTTAAAAGAAGAACAATAAAAAAGTCACAACGAAATAGTGCAACGAAAATAAACATGTGTAGATTCGATGGAGAAATCCGAAACGAAAGAAAACCTTTGAAAAAAAAGAAGAAGAAAACTGGAATCTTATCCATCCTTAAAAAAAAACAAGTCAGCAGCATGTTTGAAATACTTGAATAGAAATCGCCCTTTTTTTCACGATGTTTAAACCGGTTACTTTTTTCACGATGTTTAAACCGGTTACTTTTTTCACGATGTTTAAACCGGTTACTTTTTTCACGATGTTTAAACCGGTTACTTTTTTCACGATGTTTAAACCGGTTACTTTTTTCACGATGTTTAAACCGGTTACTTTTTTCACGATGTTTAAACCGGTTACTTTTTTCACGATGTTTAAACCGGTTACTTTTTTCACGATGTTTAAACCGGTTACTTTTTTTCACGATGTTTAAACCGGTTACTTTTTTCACGATGTTTAAACCGGTTACTTTTTTCACGATGTTTAAACCGGTTACTTCTTCTTATGTAGCGGTATTAAATATTGAGTAACTAATGTTTGTAATTACTTAAGTTGTTAATTACTTAAAAGCTTCCAAGAAAACAACGTTTTCTTGCATACAATAAGGGTTATGGGATGTCATTGTTTGAAAAACATAATATTATGTTTCTTATTGTGAAGAGCAGAAGAGGAATGGATACAGCGAAGAAAGAGTTTGGTATGTTTTATTATTTTTGAGTTTCTCTTTTAAATTGTTAGAGTTACAATGCTACTGGGTAGCAGAATGTAGTACACTATTTCTAGTTTTAATTCAATACCTTAGCGATTCTGGTTATGGTAAATAAAGCCGTAACGTTTCTTTGTTTTTGCTTTGTTTGCAGACTTAATTTTAAACTACGAAACTAAATTTTCTAATTGGTGAACAGTCGATATGATTTGAATTTCTTATCAGTTTTATTATTGTATAACACGAGTTTGTGCGACGTAGAATTCCGTTGCACCTACATACTTTGTTTACGTTGTAGCGATTTGATATCAGTTGTTATAGCTAGAAGCTTATACGATCACCTAAGTCGTATTACCGCTTAGTATCTGTTTTCATATACAAATAATACTTTTTCCTTACTAGTTCTATCCAATGTTGCGACTGTTAATCTGCAACGCCCTTTAGGGAAGTCTTCAGAAAGACTACAGAAGGTTAAATACGTTATGTTAAAATGATCTTCAATAGCAAGTCACGTGACAATATAAAGTCCAGTATCAGGACTATTTTGATATTGTTTAGCGTCTTGTAGGTACTTTGTTGCTACAGAAAACTGGTTGCCTTGGGAGGACATATAACAGCACTTTCAGGCGCAGATTATTCAGACATTACAGTCATAAAGCTCTGTTAAGATTGGGAATTTAATATTTCCAAGACGAGGATATTATTTGTACTTAATGGAATTGGAAAACAAAGGAATATGGATGAACTTCGGGCACTAGGATCACCTCGAAACCCCCCAGTGGCACAGCGGTATGTCTGCGGACTTACAACGCTAGAATCCGGGTTTCGATACCCGTGGTGGGCAGAGCACAGATAGCCCATTGTGTAGCTTTGTGTTTAATTACAAACAAACAAACCACCCAGAAAGAGACCTGCAACAAGTTGTATCTCAACCATGGTATGCAAAGTGCGCGTCTTGTAACAGGTGAAAATCCCCAAAGGTCAGTAGCAAAAACCGTCTACATGCCCCAGGCAACAGCATACAACAAAATCATAAAGAATATCAGTCTGTAAGAGCGACATACAAGTCACGTGTACGCAATCTGATAAACCGTCATCCTTGTACATTAGATAGAATATGGAAAACAAACAGGGAAGTGTAGTAGGCCCTTTGCGAGTCGGGCGCCCTAACCACCTGGCCATTCCAGGCCTGACAGCAGATTGAGAAAAGAAACGTAGGATAAAACTAACTGGTATATATACACACACATATATATATATACGTAATAAGTTACTAATTAATAATTAGACGTAGGTGACCATAGAGGCTACGAATCTTAATAACTGGTATTGCTGAGAAAGCACAATAAGTGTATTATTTGTGGCAAACTGTGTTTGCAACAGTTTACTGTAAATCAAAGCTACTAAATGATTTTGTGTGACGTATAATATTATACTTTAAGCTTTCTGTATAGCTCTGAATCCTCTAGTTCTCGTGCATTTCAGTATAGTAGTTATAACTACGTGTTTAATATTTTTTATATACTGTAAAGTTAATAAAATGTTTAACTAGTTTTCCTGATAAAAACTGCGGTTCGCTCTAGCTTTACAGTCTTATGCAGCAGAAGTCGATGTTCATAATTTACCTTCTTTTTTGTTTTATTTATATCGCTTAAGGTTAATACGCCCGCCAAAGAAAAAAAAAAGGTTTGCTTTTGTATATTCAAGATTAACCACTATGGAGTTAAAACGTTAAACTAGAGCTTACGTCAGAGTCGTCCACAATTATCGACCTGTGTGCACCCGAGAAATGCTTATTTTATGCATGGGCTACTTCGAATATTAGCATTATTTAATTAAGCACAAACATAGTTCTTTTCGTTCTTTTTAAGGTTTAATCCTCTAGCGGTACCAAAAACGGAACATCAAGCTTCCTAACTTTTTACACTAAACCGTTACATATGTTTTCACTCGTTTGTTACAATTCAAATAATTGAACAGATACTTTTCATAATTACCCAAATTTATAAAAATAGATTTCGAAAGTAAAAGTAATGAATTAAAACAAAAATCTTTAATATTCTGTTTTCACAGAAATAAAACAAAATGAATAGAAACCCTGTAGAACCAAGCATCCATGTGTTAAGTACAAGTACTTGGATTACTTGCACAAATATGCTTCTTACCGGCAAACCCAGTGACCAGTAAATGAGTCTTTAAGAAAACAAAAGAAACTGAAAAACATATAACTGTTAAATTTACGAAGATTATAAAGCAATTTACTCATAACCAAATGTTACTGCATGTCATTATTACCGTTCACTCTTCAGAAGTAAACATGAATCTGATGCGCTGCTGTACTTCTGTAATGTTGACTGTAGATTGTCTTTCCTTCAACCCTGAAAACCCTCGAAAAAACACTATATATTTTTCTATTGTATTAAAAACATAGACACGCCCTTTTGATATTATAGATGAAGAAAATGTATTTGTTTGTAGATTGTCTTTCCTTCAATCCTGAAAACCCTCGAAAAAACACTATATATTTTTCTATTGTATTAAAAGCATATTTAATTGAATTATTAACAATGATATTTTATCTTTTACGATATGAACTAATTGACAAGAAGTAATGAAATACAATATTATTTTGTTTTGTGACAAGAAAAATAAACAGCTATTCTAAAGTAGACATTCTTATCTAATTACTTAACTGTAAAGTTCACATCCAACGTCCTTTCAAAATGCAAAATGAAACATTTAAGAAGTTAAATTACTTCTAAGGACAAGTACATTTTCTTCATCTATAATATTAAAAGGGCATGTCTGTGTGTCTGTGACCGCCATAACTCCAAGAGGAAAGAACCTGAAATTTTGCACACATACTAAGTAGACCCTGAGGGTGGGCACCTGGGTATTATTATTTATCCACGTGCGTGCGCATCTTTTTAATGAGGCAAGCTAGCGAAAAACCACATAGAAAAGAAGTGGTTCCTTATATAACAACTTCTAATATATAAAAATCAGTGCGTTTTGGTAACAATGTATTCCAACAATGGCTTTTATATTATGTTGCTTAGCAATAAAAGTATAACTTAATATTGTTGTTAAAAGGCTATGTGCTGAAATAATATAATGAAATGTATAAACTACAAAATGGAATAAAAATATTTGTTGTTTTCTAATTTAGAAGCTCCATTAATTAAAGAGGTTTGTCTTTATTATTTAAGTTTAAAATCGGAGAACAAGTCATAGGGAAGGTTATCTTTATGAACAGGCCACATCCCATAAAGGAGCAACAAAAGTATATAGGTTATACTTTTATGCTAAAATGGGTTCAGAATACACACACTGACATGCCATCTAGAATAAATCAACCTAATAACCCGAGCGAAGTCGGGTACTTTCGCTAGTTCATAATAACTCAGAAGGAATAATCTCCTCTTCATTCTAGAACCATTCACGAAATAAGCTATTCTTTATTGGCACAACACACAACAAATAGGCTTTCTTCATTGTTAATAACTCAAAAGAAATAAGCTCTTAATTCTCAAAACACTCAAGAAGTAAGGTCTTCTTCAATCACATAACAAATATACTTCCTTTATTCTTAGTAAAACAAAAAATTCTTATCCCCATCTCCAATAATACATAACAAATAAGATCCTTTTTTATTCTCAACAGATCCAAGAAATATGCTCGTCTTCTTTCACAAAAATCAACTTCTATTCAATAAAACAAATGCTTTGAAGAAGAGGTTATCTACAGGGAATTAGGGTAAATGTAGAAGACAGATTTCTTATGTGTTTTTTGGCTCTTACTTCAACAAGCAGTGATGATTTAAGAAAAATAAAACTGAAATGGACAAATGTAGTGAGAATAATAATGCCTTCTTATAGAAAGAAGAGTTATGAGTGCTATTAGCTAGGGTATTATTATTATTGATTCTATCTAACATTGAATCGCATGAACTGGGGCGAATTAAAGATAGTGTTTAATTTAGTTCACGATGCTTTATCAGAAATATTGATAAATGAAGTCACAGAGAAGGGGTGGAGTTAATAATCATAGTACTAATATGGTATAACTCCTTTGGCCTCATTAATTCTTGTTATTCTATGAAGCATGTCCTCAGCTGCATTCCAACAGGTGCCTGATGCAACTTATCTTTAGACCTAGCTAAAGACGACTGACTAATATTTCGACATAACCCTGCTGTATGGTCTGAAACATGCCCTCACATTTAATATATATTCTTGAGGGGGAGGATTTATTTCAAAACATCACATTAGTTTACTGACCAATATCTCAACCATGTCTCTGTGACATGATGCGTTAGTATCTCTTGATATCCATGGGTATTTAGATGTCTTGACCTTTCACTAACTGGACCCCAAGTTACAACGAGTACACCCAACATAACCCCCTCAATACAATCCTATACTGTTGATACAGTCGCTCGACTGTTTACAACTCCATATTCAGCCAACACTTTGATATATCTCGCGACGTATCGTCAAGGTTCCATTGCTGATAAGTTTATGTTTTGTTGACCTGAACACTTTTCGCATATTGCACTACCAAGTTCCCGCTACTTTTGGAAAGCCTTATGCAAATTACATTACAAGGGACCAAATGATGCCAGTCCTTCACTTAGGTATTTTTTCAGGCTTTCTATGATAGCACTTTCCTTTAAATCACGCATTTCGGAATGTTTTTTGTCATTTTGCACACACTTCGTTGTTACTAATTTACTTGTCTACTTTGTCTCTGTATTCATGATGTCAGAAAAAAACGCAGGTTCAAGCAGTCTTAATATGAAACCCTATAACCCTTTCTATAAGTGGACCTTTCTTCTTCAGTGGCACAACGGCATGTCTGAGGACTTATAACGCTAGAAACCCGGTTTCGCTCTACCCGTGGTGAGTAGAGCACAGATAGTTTATTGTGTAGCTTTGTGCTTAACTTCAAACAAATTGTTCTTCAGGGGTAAACTAATTAGTACTCACCGAGTTCATCTAGACTATGTGAGTTGTTCAAGAGATGCCTCGATATTTTGTAACTATATCAACAACTTCTCGTATATATAACAAACAAATAATATTTATAACATTTTATATCAATGTGTAGCATAAGTTTCTGCTATGGATAACATTAATATAACAATGACTTGATATGTTAAGTGAAAAGAAACGGAATATAAGTAGTTACATGGGAAATCTAAGTCGCCATGAGCCGAACTTTATTTCAGAATTTCTTTTGTTTCGTTTTAGCACAAGGCTGTGCAAAGGACTATCTGCACTGCGTCCGTCGCGAGAACTGAAGATTGAAACCCGAGTGACTGGTCTTATAGGAAATTGTGTATTTTCACAAATCACTTTAGTTTAGCTTGAATCTTGTCAAGAAACCAAACAGTAAGTATTTTAAGCTTTCTAACATTAGAAACACGTATGGGAATAATGAATGTGCACGTAAATACATAGCATCTCCCGCCATCTCCATGACAACAAGCTTCATTAGGACTGATCTGTCCAAATTTAAATCTTTAAAATATGTTATTATCACATAGCTTATGTTAATGTTGAATTAAAAAATGTAATAAGATAATTTCATATATAAATGTCCTGGCTAGCAATATATAATTCACAACTTCTGGTGCTTGGGAAGAAACATTAACGAGTATTAGAAATTACTTTGATGACGCAAGCTGGATATAAAAAAGTCGATAATTATTTGACAGTCATAAGCTTAGGAAAATACCTCATGCGCTGCCAAGATACCAGAAGGATTACAAAACAATAAACAAAGATAATGATAAGCTGGCTGTAGCACTGGTGAAAGGTACAACTACTGATTGTTTGTTTGAAGTTAAGCACAAAGCTACATAAGGGGCAATCTGTGCGCTGCCCGCCACGGGTATTGAAACCCGGTTTCTAGCGTAGAAAATCCGCAGACATACCGCTGTGCCACTGAGAGGGCACAATAACTGATGCATATATATATATATATACACACACACATATATCACTGATATAAATATATATATATTGATACATTGAAATGTTCACTGCATTTATTGCAAGTCACACTTAATTACATAAGTCAAACCAAAAAAATATTTTATTGGTAAATGCATACTTTGTTAAAATATAGGTTGCGTTCTTGTAAGAAGACTTACCAGGGTTTTGGGTTGTCAATGTAGAGGTTGTGGAGTCACTCTTTTCAGGTTCTGAAAAAGAAAATACAACAGGAGGAGAATAGCCTGAAATTTTAAACGATACTAAGGTAAATTTATGTTAAACAATACTAAATTTGTGTATAGTAGATTTAACTGCAATAGGCCACATTATGATCCGTGACAGGCATAGCACAATATAGTAATAAAAATCACGTTCAACTACGGCTTTCTTCTAATCCCCCTCAGTTTATCTATTACGGATTTCAGATCAAAAGTGTGTACGAAACAGGATTTCAAATCGAGCTTTCGTCTGATACAGAAAGCTTTATTTATTTATTTATTCCACAATAGCACAACGAAACGTTTTATAATATATTTATATATTTTATAGCAACTAATTCTATTTCTGTAGTCAGTCTGACACTGTCGGAAAGCATAAAAATCCGTAATAACAGCGTTGTAAGTACGTGAATAATCAAATACAATTACGAATTTTAACTGAGAAGGTCCAACAAACAGGTATATAACAGTTTAAATTTCAGTTGCTTTACATATCGGGATTGAAATGTACTATTGTTATAGGATACGCAGTTCCACGGGACCGGTCGTAGCCCACTGTTTAGTTTGTTTGTTTTGAATTTCGCGCAAAGCTACACGAGGGCTATCTGTGCTAGCCGTCTCTAATTTAGCAATGTAAGACTAGAGGGAAGGCAGCTAGTCATCACTTCCCACCGACAACTCTTGGGCTTATTTATTTTACCAACGAATAGTGGGATTGACCGTCACATTATTACGCCCCCACGGCTGAAAGGACGAGCATGTTTGATGGGACGGGGATTCGAACGCGCGACCCTCAGATTACGAGTCGAGCGCCCTAACCAACTGGCCATGCCGGGCCGGCCCGCTGTTTAGCGTGCTCGGACTGTGAATATAAGAGATTATGTTTCGCGGTACGTTGCCGCAGAAATGCCCGCCGTACTTTGGGGCTGTGGATGCGCTATAAGAGTGACGGTAAAATTCCACTATCTCCTAGTCTTTCAAGTCAAAATTGGGGATGGATATGCGCAGATAACTCTTTCTGAAACAAATATGACAATTACATTTTTTATTTAACGTTATTACTAACTAAACTGATCTAGAACAAAACCTCAACAAAGCGCTGTTAGTTATTTTCTTCTTTCTAAAACTCCCATCGTTACGGTTTGCACATGTCAACCAAATTCACGTGCAACCATTCACTGTACCTGTTGATGGAATATTCAATCCTTGATTGCGACTTTTCTTTTCAAACTCGTAAGTGGCCCTAAACCCTTGACCTGGAAAATGGCTGCTGCTGATAAACTCTACGTATAGGTCTGGACCACTTGACACCACTTCTATAAAGCTGATTTTGTTGCACATTTCTCCAATCACAGTACTGTGTCGATCTTTCCCGTCATGCACTACAATTTTATCAGCGTTAAACAGACAACTGTTGGGGAAAAATGATAATATATGAAATAAGTATTGTTGCTATAAAAACGTTCATGGAATAATATATTGTTTAACAACAATGATTATCGTAAAGAGTAGCATTAATGATGTCGACATACAAAGGATTATAGAAAATTTCAGATAGAGACGGAGTATTAGGTAAAGCAAAAAAATTACTGTTTAAAATTAGGTTGGTAACAAAATGTATACAAATATTGGTTAAGATAGAGGTAACAACGAAAATAAACTTTGGTGAAGTTAAAGTTCAAACAAAGACGTACATAAACACTAAAAGACCGGATTAACCACAAAATTATACAAACATTGGTGAAAATGAAGCTAACAACAAAACCATACAAAAATACAATACCCTACAATCAAAGCGCTTTCGAAAGGTGGATCTTTCTTCATCAGATCCACCTTTCAAAAGCGCCCGAGATTTAGGGTTTTGTATTTTTTTACTGTAATTGAGTTTTTGAACCTACGTTCTTCCTAATATTAAGAAGAAAATCATACAGACAACGGCGAAGATGAAACTAAGTATAAAATCATATAAACATATAGAGATGAAGCTAATGACAAAAGCATACGAACGTTGATGAAGATGAAGCTAACATCATAAGCATACGAACGTTGATGAAGATGAAGCTAACAACAAAATCATACGATCGTTTGAAGACGAAGCTAACTACAAAAGCACTAAACCATTGGTGAATGTGAAGCTAACAACAAAAGCAGGGACATAAGCTCCTGAATATAAAGCCAACAACACAGACACAAACAAGTACTTGCAAATACAAATGTTAAGAACAAAGTTGTACATAAACATTATAACTTCAACAGATCGGTGAAGAAAATAATAACAAAACCAAACCAAATATCGCTTAACACGCAAGAGTAAACAGCGTAGTAAGCATTTGCATGAAAATTTACAGTTCATAGAAACTACCTTCAACACGCTTTTTTAGCACAAATCGCAAGAGATGCTATGCAGGTATAAACTGATGTGTTATTCACTGTGTCACGGTACGACAGCTTAGGTTTTGTTCTTTTTTTATCTAACCCATCTTTAACAAATCTTCCAATATGATACGAATGGAGCCTATCTCTTTCCACATGTTTTGCACTGCGTCACGATAAGAAGAGCTTAGTTTTTGTACACGGAACCCATCTCTCAAGATGACACGGGTGGTCAATGAGGAAAAATAATCTACAGATGTCCACCAAGGTTCATCAAAACCTGATAATTTTTCACTGAGTTACAGAGTAAAGATAGTATGAAAAAGCTGTCCCCATGTTAACGTATAAGATTTTTTGGGGATTTTCGTGACCCTGACCCTCCAAAAACTAATCTATTCTAAGTTGGGTCATAGTCCAAATGTTTACTAACTTTTGTCCAAATCACTCAAGCGTTTTAGAGAAACCTTGCTGACAAACATACAAACAAATACACACACAGGGGTGAAAACATAACCTCTGTCTACCTTCTGTGGCGGAGGTAACGAAATATCTCAAGATGATACGAGTGGGGGCTAGCTTGTCCCCCACTGAATTTATGAGGAATTGCTGTTGGAAAGATTCTTCATAGACGAAGACTTTTATAAACTACATTATACCAGACATTCATGCACAGGAATAATAACACCAAGAAAATCTTTATTTTTGTGAAATGTAGCTTTCTCTGCTTCATTTCGTTTATATTGGAAACCATGTTAGGTATAAATCAAGTAGGTACGTTCTGGAAAGGCCTACCTATACCTGATTCTCAATAAATACTGGTTTTCAGAAATCAAACCAGGAGTTGTTCGTTCGAGACATCAACATTTTGCAATAAACGAGTGAGCGAAGAAAGACATCTTTGTTGTACTGTATTGAAATAGATGTTTCGAGACTTTCAATCTCTTTCGCTGCACGCTACTACAATAAGTTTATAGAAACGAACAACCATCTTCATTATGCAGTAAAGTTTCAATAGGAGGCGCTGGTTGGCGTTGTGATAGAGCTCAGTATTTCGGATCTGGCGAGCTGGGTTCGACTCCGTGCGACAAACGAAATATTCCTCGCACTTGAAACTGTGTGTGCGTTATAGGAATGATAGTCAATCCTGTAGCGTGTTTATGAATGGCAGAGTGCTTCTGCCGACCCTCTGGCCAGTTGTTCAAAATTAGGGACGGCGGCAGCGAGCGCTGGTAGCTTTGCCAAAAATACAAATACAATAGATATATAAAACCTTCCAATATTTTCACTACAGTATTTCAATAAAAGTATGGAGAATACCACCTTCAGGACACAGTAGTACAATAATACAAATTATTTTCATTGTATAGTGCTTCACTAAATTTATAGACACCATACACCAATAATCTTCGCCGTATAAATAATATAAATTTTCATTTACATACGATTGTAAGTGATACGGAGTTCTCAAAAGCAGATGAATGCTTTGGAAATAGTTGAACAATTGCCACACATATACAGATGGTATAGTTGGCAGATAAACTGACACAATACGTAAAGAACACTTGAATAACCTCTACTGATAATAGCCACACATATGTAGATGGTATAATTAGCCCAGAAACTGATAGTTATGTAAGAGACAGTAGAATAACACTTACTGATAATAGCTACACATATCTAGATGGTATAATTAGTTCAAAAACTGATAAAATATGTAAAGAACACTTGAATGACCTCTACTGATAATAGCCACACATATGTAGATGGTATAATTAGCCCAGAAACTGATAGTTATGTAAGAGACAGTAGAATAACACTTACTGATAATAGCTACACATATGCAGATGGTATAATTAGTCCAAAAACTGATAACATATGTAAAAGACACTTGAATAACCTCTACTGATAATAGCCACACATATATATAGATGGTATAATTAGCCCAGAAACTGATAGTTATGTAAGAGACAGTAGAATAACACTTACTGATAATAGCTACACATATGTAGATGGTGTAATTAGTTCAAAAACTGATAGTTATGTAAGAGACAGTAGAATAACACTTACTGATAATAGCTACACATATGTAGATGGTATAATTAGTCCAAAAACTAACAAAATATGTAAAAGACACTTGAATAACCTCTACTGATAATAGCCACATATATATAGATGGTATAATTTGCCCAGAAACTGATAGTTATGTAAGAGACAGTAGAATAACACTTACTGATAATAGCTACACATATGCAGATGGTATAATTAGTCCAAAAACTGATAAAATATGTAAAAGACACTTGAATAACCTCTACCGAGGAATGGACAAACATACACACATGTAGATGTTATGATTGGCCCAGAAACTGGAAGAATGTTAAATAACGCCTGCTGAACAACAAACACACAGTATAGGTAGCATGATTGGTCCAGGAACTGATGGTGTACGTGTTTTTATAGCAAAGCCATATCGAGCTATCTGCTGTTTCCACCAAGGGGAATCGAACTCCTGATCTTAGCATTGTAAATCCGTAGATTTACCGCTGTCCCAGCGGGAAATGGAACTGATCGAATGTTCAAACGACAATTTAGTAGCTACAGTGGAACAACACGTACTCTTCAATGCTATATAAGCCAAGCCGTTTCGAAGAAGACAAATAAAATGAAACGGGTTTATGCTTTTGTTTTTATGAACTTGAAATCTCGACTATAAACGTTTTTAACCTTCAGATATGAAACAAAGTTTTTAATTCTCAGTATTAAAATGAAATGAAAATAAAGCAATGCAGAAAAGAAAATCCAGAACCACCAAAAAATACACCCATTTTTAATTAATGTATTATTAATTTCTGAATATATATATATAGATATAATTGAATGTTATTCGGAAAAGTCTTCACTAGCCTTTAATATGTTTTCTGAAAATCCCAAGAACTTTCATCATTCCCAGGTGGAAACGGGGAATGAAGTGACGACCAGATAGAAAACAGAAAAGACGAAAGCCCGTAGAAACGAGAGTAATTATTGGAGGAGCACAAGACCGAAGCCAGTATTGTTGTGCTACTGTGAGATAATTTGACAAGGTTTTGCCGCTGTTTTCTTCCCTACTTGTGCAACGCTATGATAGATAGAATCCTTCCTTATTTCCTAATTACTTTTGACATGATCCACTAGTACGCCATAATCTCAGGAATTCAAATAATCACTAGCTAATGCAATCGCTCTTGTATAGTAAAGGAATTTGGAAGAAACAATTAGTTCAGTACCAATAAATAATATCGGAGCTTTCTGAAAACTACATATATGGAAAATTTCCTACAAAAAAAGGCAACGCAATGACGCAGAAGCCCCTCACCTTCTCCAGTGGCTCATAACATTGAAATTAAGATTTCGATCTCGATGACGTGCACATTACAGATAGTTGATAGTGCAAATTTGAACTTAAGCAAACAAATCGTGCAGTATCTTCAAAACCCAAATGTATAGTGATCCATTTTGTTAAACTTTTCAAAAGAATAAAATGTCAAAAGTATTCGACAGTGAAATGTCGCCGTCACAGGCATGTTTATGCCTGAACGCAGTTGGACTCTATGGTCACCACAGGTTTCTCATATAATGGGATTTTCAAATGCACAGTAAAAGAAGGTAAATTTTAGTCACTCTAAACAGACTGTATAATTCCTTCACTGTACAGCCAAAATGGTACGGTTTCAGGATAAAGTGTCATGACACAGCTGCGTTTCTGCAAATTATGAAAAAATGAAACTGGTGATAATGCAGTCCTCTCTTCGCTGACGTAACTAACTACCAAGTTATCTGACTACGCACACGTAGACTCCCGTGCATTTGGTTTACTCAGTCTTGAGCTTTATAGCCAACAGTACCTAGAGGATCTCATGATCTCTGTATCCGACAGTACGTGGAAGATATCATGATCTTTGTATCCGACAGTACGTGGAAGAACTCATGATCTCTGTATCCGACAGTACGTGGATGACCTCATGATCTTTGTATCCGACAGTACGTGGAGGAACTCATGATCTCTGTATCCGACAGTACGTGGATGACCTCATGATCTTTGTATCCGACAGTACGTGGATGACCTCATGATCTTTGTATCGGACAGTACGTGGAAGATATTATGATCTTTGTATCCGACAGTACGTGGAAGATATCATGATCTTTGTATCCGACAGTACGTGGAAGATATCATGATCTTTGTATCCGACAGTACGTGGAAGATATCATGATCTTTGTTTCCGACAGTACGTAGAGGAACTCATGATCTTTGTATCCGACAGTACGTGGAGGATCTCATGATCTTTGTTTCCGACAGTACGTGGAGGAACTCATGATCTTTGTATCCGACAGTACGTGGAGGATCTCATGATCTTTGTATCCGACAGTACGTGGAGGATCTCATGATCTTTGTATCCGACAGTACGTGGATGACCTCATGATCTTCGTATCCTACAGTAAGTGGAGGATCTTTGAATGTTGGTCAAAATGTATGATCTGGCTTCGCCGTCTTTCGCAGAAGTTTGTTACATTGGACATTGTGGTGTTGGACAATAATATGTTATTATGGTTATCACAATGAGCACGATCGAAGATGGAGAAAGAAGTTTCAAGAGAAGCGCGGGACTTGGAACTTTGTTTTAAAAAGCACTAATAACCTTTCATATTCAAAGGGTGTATTTTGTAGTCGATCAATGACAGACTGCAAGTTTTATTCTGTCAGAGATCACACATGGAAAGTAATATTCGGAAATTTCATGACAACAGAAAACTACGGCGTAAAAGAAGAATCGTAAATAAAAATAGCAGACTTTTTAGCTTATTCTGAGAGATATTAATAGAGCTTAACAAAGTAACACTTCTTAAGCAATCCTTAATTTCTTTAAAGTTTGGTAACATGATAGTATATGTGTACGTTGTGTATAATTATAGTGCAGCAAATAAAATCGCCCAATTCCAAAACTGTAGAATTAGCCTGTTGTACTTCCGCAGGATCCCCGAAAGTGTTCTGTTTCCAGAGTAAGTAAAACCAAAATTAAAAGTAACAAATATTTTTATTCCTTGCTTTTGAAGTTCATATGTCATGCTGTGTTGTAGCCAAAAGAGTACACAATTCTTCTCGTGATTCATGGTATGCGCACGTTTTATTGACGTCATTTAAGCGTCATTTATGTGACGTCATTTTATTGCCTGCTTACTGACAGACAACACACTACCGTATAGCGGTGCGAGTGGTTAAAACAGGTGACCTCTCCAGGCGGCCTGTGGCTCCCTTTCGGGAAAATGATACCACAAGTCGACTATTGCAGTGAAAATATATTTGCATTAAGACAAATATGCGGCTAGATAGATAATGTGCTGGTGTGTTAAAAACATAATACACCAGTCTTTGTTGTTTTCAAAATAAGAGAAGATAATATAAAGACTCAGTAAAAACACTTTACGGCATGTTGTGACCTTTCCGATCTAAGTTCATTGGTTGGACTCAGATTTCACGATGCATAGATAAATTGATATACATAAAGGTTTTTAGCTTACCTAAGGTCACCACTTTGAAGCCTCACGTATTCGAAAACAAGGTGCACTCTCTCGCTGTGTACCCCTATAAAATGATAAGCACATACAATATTCTTTGGATAAATGCTAGGATACAGGGGTGAATAGAAACGGCCGTTGCCATGGCTCCCGTTTCCACTGAGAAACTGGTACTCACATTCCGAACCGTGAAGAGGCTCTCCATCTGTCTGGAACAAATCTGAAAATCGATATATATATCAACATTTTTAATCAACTGATTTCTGTAAATGTTCCCCTAATTTATTTTTTCAACCGACCGCCTTTATATCCTGTATTCATTATAAATCTCTATTATACCCAATAACCACTCAATTCTGGCTATGATTTCGACGTTATCATAGAAGTCAGCTTTTACACAGTAAATGTTAATTCGCTAATGGCCGATGCCAATGTTCCCATAATATCTACCTTAGATATACAATATTAAGGACTTGTTTGAAAGCAGAGAAATTAGGAGACAATGCAGATAATTGCTTGCAATAAACCTGACTGGGTTTACTCGCAACTGGAATTACCTTAAAAATATTTGAAAAGTGGTGCTTTGTTTTTTTTTTGCTCGTAAATGTATACGTAGACAATAAATGATGATGTTGATTAGGGAACATACTGACTTACACATCCGCTCTTTACTTTATAAGAACCGAAAACTTTAAGAAGAATTATTTTCCCGTGGAGGAGAAGGATGGGATTAGTGTGAAGTCATCTGGTTCTTTTAATTTATTGTAAGCATCAAAGAAATGATCAATGTTTTGTTGAAGATCTCAAGGAAGTAAATATGATGCATATTTTACAGAAACATCAAGAAAATGGTGCATATAGTTCAGAAACATCAAGAAAATGGTACATATTTCACAGAAACGTTAAGGAAATAATGGGTGTTTTGTTGAAAATATAAGAAAGTAATTACATTTTTAGGTAACATCAAGGAAATGGTACATATTTTACAGAAACAACCAAGGAAATGATGGGTGTCTTGTTGAAAATATAAGTAAATAATTACATTTTTAGGTAACATCAAGGAAATGGTACATATTTTACAGAAACACCAAGGAAATGATGGGTGTCTTGTTGAAAATATAAGAAAGTAATTATATTTTTAGGTAACATCAAGGAAATGGTGCATATTTTACAAAAACACCAAGGAAATGATGCATGTTTCATAAAAAACATCAAGGAAGTGAAGTGGTTTGTCCCTGATCGTTTGTCACCCATTTAGGAGTATATGGAAAAACAAATTACTTGTCTTGTAGAGGCGTATTAGCCTTTGTAGCTTAAGTATTAAATGATAAAACTGAACTTTGAATACATAACTTTCTCTGTAGCAAAGACTATGTTTAGTGGTGACACATTAAGTGGTGACACTCAACAAAGAACGAATAAAAAAGAAAAATATATATTACACGAAGTACTTAAAAAACACTCAAACCGAATTTTTCCTTTTATGCATTAACCAAGTTTTTTTAATGTTAAATCCCTTATATGGTAACGACCGACTTGCCCCTATGTCTTTAATGCAATTTTCCGAGCGGCATTTAGTGATAAGAGTTTCTCTTTTTTTTGGCGTGAGTTAACTGAGTCATGACCAGCTTATTCTTGACTACAAGAGATTTGCTGCTTGTTTTCAGCGTGATGTTTGTGTTCTGGAACTTAGTTACCTTCGTGATGCCTTTAGCAACAAATGGTTTTCTGCTTTTAAAAATTGTCTTCTCGTTCGTTTTGTTTTTGTTACCCTTAGTTACGAAATGGTAATTACTTCTTTGAGGATTTTTTGAAATTGTACTACTTGGTTGCCCTTAGTTACAATAGGAATGCGGCTTCCTCAGTATAAGTTGTTGCTACTTTGAATTAATATCCTCAATTGTACTATTTAGATTTCACAAAGTTGCACTTAGCAACAAAAGGATTGTTGCTTCTTTAAATTAATATTCTCAGTTTTACTTCTTAGTTTTGACAGAGTTGTCTTAGCAACAAATGAATGATTGGTATAAGAAGCAGCATTTTTAGTAGGAAATTTTTTTACCGCGTTAAAAAACAACGTTTCGATCCACAATAGCGGGTCATCCTCAAGTTACTGTTAACCTGAATATGATTCGCTGCTATGGGTCGAAATTTCGTGTTTTATTACAGTAAAAAAAATCTGTCTACTACAAAGCTGCTTCTTATATCATTGAGTTACTCAATAAGATCCTCAATCAACATTAAACGAAATTGTTGCTTCTCACCTAGTTGAGTTACGACCAAACTGTCCACAACTGAAAGTGGTTTGTGCTTCCCTCGAGTGTGTTTTTCCGCGTGGTAAAACTTAGTTACGACAGAATTGGTTTTAGATTTAAACGGGGTTGTCGCTTCTATAGTAGAATATTGTTCCAGTGTGTTTGCTGTCCGTATTTCAATATAGATTAAACGTTTTTTTACCCGCGTTGTGTTTTATTTCGATGAACATGGACAGAAACCTTCTATCTTATTCTTACCACGGATTATTAATTTCGTGAAGTTAACGTGTTTCCATAGTAACACGTTATGTCCGTCAACTAAAGAATAGTTTGTAAGGAAGACACCTAAACTATTTTCATGCTAGTTTTGCTCTTGCTTCGCATCAGCTGTCGTGGTTTATGTCGAAAACCAATTTATCCATCATTAAAACAGTTAACCACATTACATTCGACGTCATAATTGAGACGATCAGGTAAATTGGACACAAAATGTAGATACAAAGACACGTATTCTACTACTTCCCCTATAACTGAAGTTGACTAGAAATTATAATGTTGTTGTCACTTTTAGATTTTTATCAGCCAATCTTAATTGGGTTTCAAAGCATGGAGTTAAAAAAAACACACTTAGATAATAGCTTTTATTCCTTGACTTCATATACTGACATTGAAATTACTTTTAAATAAGGCACAATTTGAATATACATGAGTATAGCTGAACTTGTGACCGGGGATCTTAATCAGAAAATATGTTGATTCACATACACACACGTTTCTTTCCTTTTTAACAGGTTTTTTATAAAGAAACTTATTTCACTATTGAAAACGAGATGAAATCAGTATAAAATAATTGATTATTTTGTAATTAACAATGATTTATAAAATAATACATACTTTAAACAAACCTGAAGGAAGGAATTCGTATTTTATTTAAAACATCAAACAAGTGGAGCAGGCTATGCAAAATATTTAAACAATATAGAACAGACAAAAAGACAGATATATATATAGAATGAAATAAAAAGAAACAACTACAAATGATGAGATAACTGTAATTAGATGTACACAGGTTAGATAGTAGACACAGAAAAGTAAATAGATAAATATAGGACAAAAATGTGTAACATAGTTTAAAATTGGAAGGTAAATAGTTTGACGCACTCGACATTAATATACAGGATGGAATAATTAAAGGATCAATAATTTTCTTTTATCATACCGGATAACTTGTAGCTGTGGAATTACGCACTTTTTGGAGTGTTTTATGTGCGTGTGCGCAAGCGTTGGATTTTCTGAAAATGTATAAATTGTGAATGAATTTCATCTTGGAGAGTCGACAGTCTTCCAGTCCAGGTGTTACATTCATCTTAACAAAAGTTAGTGGGCAGTCTTCCAATCCGGGTGTTACATTCATCTTGACAAAAGTTAGTCGACAGTCTTCCAATCCTGGTGTTATATGCATCTTGACAAAAGTTAATGGACAGGCTTCCAATCCGGGTGTTACATTCATCTTGACAAAAGTTAGTGGACAGTCTTCCAATCCTGGTGTTATATTCATCTTGACAAAAGTTAGTGGATAGGTGTGACAGTTGAATGTGTGGCCAGGTGTGTTTCTGACATAATATCGCATTAATAAAACAGCCCATCGATACCACTCACGAAACTAAGGGTTATTTCCAAATTGTGGACAAGATAACTGACAGTAACAGAGAATGTTCAAGAGATAGCAGGTCACGCTCCACAATACAATGCTAGGACCGATATTTTGGTAATCTGATGTTTATTCTGAACGAGTTAAATTTCAATTCCATCAAATTATTGGAATTAAACTCACAATACAAACGAAAAGAAAAGTTAGGCCTAACTAACATTCGGTGCTATCGCCCTGCCATTCGACAAATAGCACTGCCATGACATCTACAAGTTAGAATAGTGGTGTCGGGTCCATTCAAAAAATTAAGTATTACTGGCATCCAGTTCTGTTAATGGAAAAGTTCAGGTTCTATTTTGGCTACCATGATGGTTGGTGTTGTGTACAGATACATCCTGGAGAGCGCATGACAGGTTTGGAGGTCGCCTGGAGGTTGTTACACCGAGCGCATGGTAGCTCAGCATGGCCGATTTGGAGGCTGCTTGGAGAACCTTACACCGAGTAAATTGTAGCTGAGCATGATAGGTTTGACATCTACATGGAGAGCGCTACACTGGAGACGTAATAACTGGGCATGATACTTTTGGAGCCTGTCTAGAGGATGCTACTACGATCTACAGACTGTCCAAAGAACGCTACACTGGATACATTGTAGTTAGTGACAGATTTTGAGAATTTCTGGAAAGTACTATACATAACACAAGGTAGCTGAAAACTTTTCGAAGAGCACCACAGCGAACATATTGTATTAGAGCACGACAGACCTGAAGACTGTCCGAAGAGCGCTACACCGTACAGATCGCAGTAGAACATAACTAATCTGGAGATTACCTGGAGTGTGCAACACAGAACGCATAGCAGGTTTTGGGGTCAGTCACCTGAGAACATGAGAGAACATCTGATACAGTAGACGTTCTGATTTATATAACATCAGTAATGGTGCTCTAAATGTTGTGCATTATAGGCTCGAGTGGCAATCACTGTCAGGCTATGGGACCTAATTTCATATTTAATATTTCTCAAGCCCTTCCTGTATGTACGTATCTTCGTTATGTAACTTGAACAGAGAGATACTGTGAGATTGGACTGGCCGCAATTTCCTCTGAATCATAACCTCAAATAACACATCTGGGACCACGTTCACGGATGGATTTTGCATCTAGCGCTCATCCACAGTTTACAATCAGCTGCGAAACGTCTCTGTGAATGAATGGGGAAATATTCTCTACAAGTCTAATCAGAGACTTGCACATGATCAAAAGCCAAGTTATAGAGCTATGTTGGTCGCTTGAGATTAATATATGCGCTATTAAGACGAACATAAACATTCTCAATCCCAATCTCTTAACTTTTCTAGCTATGATATTGCTTTAGACACTCCAAAACTAGGAAATGGAACATATACAGATAGGGGTCCGCTGCAATGTAGCTCCGTGTTCCATAGGCTAGTATATTATAATTTGACTTCCATTAATGTAAATAATATATCCAGAATATATATTTATTGCCTCAATATTTCGCTATTACGTCTTCGTCAGGTGTTATCAATAACCTACAAGTTCGCTAATCCAGTTAAAACTGGACATTCTGGAGATTATAAGTCGTTATTTAATTTAAATTAATAGAAATATATTGTAATAAGCTTCAGCTCGCGTTAAACAACGCTAGGAATAATAATCTTATTTCCATTAACAGCTTGCAAGCTCTAATTTATTTACTTGGAAAATGAATGCCAATAATTATTCGATCTCTAATTTATTCTCGTCATAACAGATAACTAAAAAGAGAGAGGGAGAGAGAAAGAAACAGTTTATTTCAAACAATGTTGTAAGAATGAAGGAACTGCACAGGGCCTTTGATATTTTCAAAAGTTGTTTTAGCATGTATATTGGTTGTTTGATCTAATGCTAAGTAAAAAAAAACAAAAACAATAGAGGTTTTACCTATTCTGTTGCAATAATGCGCGGTGCATGACAACAGAAAGTACACTATTGGTTTACTGAGAAATAGACACAAATGCACCCATGTATAGTTATATTCGAAAAAAAAAAGAATGGATGGGTTGATCGTAAATCTTGTTTGTGCTGTATAAGATCAGTTTTCAATCTCCACAAAAATCATGGTAGCCTAGCAACCCTTGTTGTTTTCCTATTTATAAAAAAAAAATCTTTTCGATAGACAGTCAACCACTCACTTTTGCTGAGAAAGCGAAATGTCCCTCTAAAGCCTGTGTTATTGCCACGTCGCCAGTCAGAGTGGAACTCAAACATCAGATACTGGCCTGCAGAATAGTGGGTCGTCTCCACGTCCGACAGCTTACCACACAAGATGAAGTTTTCTTGGTTGAATTCATTCACTGCTGGTTCTGTCAGGTGCAGGAAAAGTTTAACGTAATCCACGTAGCGACACCTAGTGCGTAAAAAGTAGAGTAAAAATCAGTTAATATATTAAAATACAAAAAAATTGATATGCGAGCACTTCGGCCTGGTGGTTAGGGCGCTTGGCTCCCAATCTGAGGGTTGCGGGTTCGAACCTCCGTCACTGAACGTGCTCGCCCTTTCAGCTATGAGGGCGTCATAATGTGACCTTCAATCCCACTATTCGTTGGTAAGAGTTGGCGGTGGATGATGTTGGCTAACTGCATTCCCTCTAGTCTATCACTGCTAAATTAGGGACGGCTAGCGCAGATAGCCCTCGTGTAGCTTTGCGCGAAATTCAAACCAAACCAAAAAAATTGATATCAAAGCACTTCGGTATTAAATGTACTTAGCAAAAACACGTGCAACTTTGATACCTTTAAGTAAACGGTATTCCGCAAAAGATTATCATACTTAATATAATCTCTTAGTAATCGGCATTATTTAAATCTCCAGTATCATTAAAGGGGTTAATTTTACTTTATAAAAACGAAGATCCAGGACCCCTGCTTATGGCCCTGATTATGTGCTGTTGAGCGACGATGTTAGATCATATACCATGAAAAATCTTTCCACATACCCAATAATCATTTTCAGTAGGCTAAAAGCACAAAACTCTTTTTGAGCTACATTAATGGATCTGACAAGTACGTCGTCGAAAGGGATTGCTGTGAGTAGTTTTTTTTTTTTTGCCATCTTTCTTATGTAAACAGCCATTGGTTTCGAGATGTTGCTGGAAGCTTGTGAACCTTTGTTCACATTAAATTCTTGCGAACTTATTGCTAACTTTACCAAATCATATGCCAAGCTCATCAATATACGGTCTATACCCTTCACTTAGCAGATAAAGATTCTGTTCCAGATTGGTTTGGAGTATGGTTTCGAAAACTGTTGTTGTCCTAAACGCACTGCTATACGCTATTTCGGCTTCCATGGAGAATATTAAAGACTCCCTTCTTAAGAATGTTGTGATATTTGGTTCTACATCGTTTAATAATCTTGCGATGGGAATATTCTTCTTTTGGAAACATCTGTGGTACATATCCCCCAGCCATTAGTCTAACCTTGACAGTATTCATTCTAGAACAGTCGAGAGTTCGTCGTGTAGCAAATATAAAAAGTGTTATACATGTTGTCCATGGCAACGCAGATTGCCCTGAAGGCGATACGTCCCTGCATTATCATATAAAAATCGTTCTCAGAAAGCGTAATTATCCCCCTGTAACTGCTCCCGGCAAGCGAGTGCATAAATAGAGGTAAAAGACGAATGATAGTGTTAATTTTGGCAAATAAATTTGCATATTGAAAAATCACATGTCTGGAACATTCGCTTCTATCCTAACACGAGATGAAGTTAAAGCAAAATATAATAAACATAGACAGAGATTATAACAAAATAAAAACTATTTAGTGTTTTGTGAAATTAAATAAGAAATAGTACATATAAAGCTAACAAATTAACGTTATATTTAAAGCTGTTTGAAATACATTAATTTTAATATAGCATATGTATATATATATATATATATATTGAGTAACCATTTCCTCAGAACATCCAAATTATTAGAACATTTCTTATACTTGCATACATGAAATAGCGTGACTACGTGATGTCTCAAGTTAATTTTAAGCTCTATAATTGTAAAGATGTACTCGAAACATTCTTAGCATGCAAGACAAGGAATATTAGCACAGACATTTTTGAGTGTCAAAGGAGTATATATTGGATGCCTGTTCAGCAGAAGTATTGTTATCAACATCTGTTTATTTGAGATTGTTCAGAGAATTTGCTTGTCAAAAAGAGCCTATCAACAGTTGACAGGGAATACATATACTACCAGAAAGAAATGTAGGCGCTAACTCCTGGTCTATAATATATATATTTAATAAGAACTAGAAAGAATTGTAAAATGTAGTATTCCGGCAGACTGATCCTTTCAACTGTAATCAGAATTCGAATATCTTTGGTTGTGACATGCAAAGAACATTACAAAACCTGTCATATGGCAGCTGATAGCAAGCAAGAAAACCTATTTTTTTAGATGCAAACATGAAAGCATGGCTTTAGTAATGATTAGAGTTTAAAATATAGACGGAAAGAATGTGATATGGTCTGATGAGTCGAGAATCATTCTCTTCTGTAATGATGACAGTTAAAGATGAAAACATAGAGGAAGATTTAGGTTTTCTTTTGTTATAATAACAGTAAAATACTGTCTCTAGAAGTTGTGTAATATGATGATTGGAAAGTTCCCTTAGCAGAGGCTGCGTTCTATATTTTCTTTAGAAGGCCAATTTAATAGCCTAGAGTGTACCCTAACTTTGTAGACGATCATGTCCACCACGCACACACACACTCTCTACTCCAGTTATATCTTAATGGACAATTCAACAATCCATCACGTTCGCTATCATCGAAATTGGTTTAAAGAGCACGACATTCTCTTCACTCATATTCCTAGCCAGCAAAATAACATAGTCACAGTCGCCCTCGCCACCGTAATTCTCTATTGACGTCTACGAAGCTAATTGCAGAGACAATTGTTTTCGATAAATAGACATTTTATGCAGTTTGTGCCACTTATAGTTCGGGTTATTATTCTTGTTAAACGTGATCCAATCTGATATTAGATGTGGGTTCTAGTAAAGTGTTCAGTTAGTGTAGTTGTTTTGAAAGATCTTCAAAGATGTTGATGCCTTTTATGCTGCTGTTCAGTGAGGATTTCAGTCTTTGAGTCTATTGTATGTTTATTTATGTATATGCATATAAAGCAATTTAATCTGTTAAAGCGTTTAAACTTCAATAAAATTAAAGCAAAATATTTTGCCACTTTGAAAGCGGTCATCTCGATTCAAACGTTTATAAAAACTGTCCGTTAATTAACAAAATAAATTTTTCTGGTTAAATACTTCAACATAATGCTTATTCGGTAATAAAAATGGTTACAATGTATACATTTTTACATATGATTTTGAGAAATTGGGTTAAACAACTGTATACTGAACAACATGTCAACTAAAATGCAAATTCTGTAACACACCTAATATTCATCAAACTGCCTAAGAGTAACATTTAAATTGTTGACTTCGTTTTAAAGACAAAAAGTAAGAAAAATAAAATATTTTTCTATGTATAAAAACACTTCAAAAATATTTAAAGGGGAGATGATTCAAGACCTCTTTTCTTTTTAATATGTTTACACTAATAAAGCTAAATTTGAAATCCATAACGAAGCTAGAAAACAGCTTACTCTATGTTAGACTTTTGTACGTCAAATTCATCAAACGTTATTTCTATAAGCTCGTCTTCTTTACCAATGAACGTGTATAATAAGCAGTTGATGTTTTCATCATAAGGAATTGGCCAATTAGGTGAGGTAAACACACCGTAATCCTTCCCATAGGTTGTATCAAACTCCACACATCGGCAACCTGAAATAGTGAATGCTTTATATCACTGCCTAAAACACACACGAAAAGTAATTTAAATAAATATATGAAAATCCATTTTGGAACTCAAAATACTTTAGCATGATTTAGTATATCGTGTGCATAAACTGCTTTAGAATCCCCACCTAAATAAAAAAAAAACATCACCAAGAATATATTTTTTTATGTGAAGTGAAAACAAGATACACATAAATTACTAAGGAAATCATCCCATCTCTTCCTTAACCACATTGACTTCCCGTGCCTTGTCTTAAAAACATCAACAAGAATTTTGATCTTTCATTTTTCCTCAAGGGAAAAAGTCCGTAAACGAAATTATGTTTTTCAATGTCCCTTTTTACTCCTGTTGCAAACAAGTCAAGATTGTATAGATACGTATAGGTCTTTTATTACTGTCTATCTCTGGTACGAAGAAATGATTTCGGCACAATAAATAAAACTGCATAAGATAGCGAACTGTTGACAAATAAGTTAAACTAAATATTCTTACCATCATTAAAATTTATAGAAATATTTTCTAATATTTTATTGTCCCTTAGTGGCACAACGCTAAGTCTGAGGTCTTATTACATTAAAAATCGGGTTTCGATACCAGTAGTGGGCGCCGATAGCCCATAGTAACTTGGTGTTTAATAACAAATTGTTCCTCAGTAGCTCAGCGGGATTTCTTCGGACTTACAATGCAGGAAACCCGTGGTGGGCAGAGCACCGATAGCTCCTTGTGTAGCTTTGTGCTTAATTACAAACAACAAACTTGAATATTTAATATAAAATAATTGATGTTTGCCTTATTTTCCTACTAGTTTGGTTGAAAAGTTGAAAGTAAATTTTATTTATTCATTTTCTTCATAACACATCCTTATAGTTTCAGTTACATATATATTTTTAAATAACTATATTTTAAAGATATCGCACATTGGTGTATTTGTTTCCTAGCCTTTTTTTTCCTTTGTAAACAATATGTCCCCCGCTAGGATGGCGATAAGTCTACGGATTTACAACGCTAAAATTAGGGGTTCGATTCCCCTCGGTGGACACAGCAGATAGCTCGATGTGGTTTTTTTTATAAGAAAAACACACACACAGTAAACAATATTTGTTCATATAATTATAATTTGCGTTATTAAAGTTCAAAATGCCTTGCAAGATAATAAGTTTTAAATATCATGACGTTATTTGTTAACGTAAATCTTATTAATTTATTTACAGAGGTATTGGTTAATGTTTCGACAACACACAACTAAACTTGTATGTTTGTTTATAGCACAAAACTGCACAATGGGGTAATGGTACTAACCAAACTCTCGTGCCTCATAACTAAGAAATTTAAACAATTTTACAGAATGTCTTTAATACATAATGAAACAGTGATTGGTCTGATTCGAGTTGGATGCAAGTGGAAATTTTATTGTAAAATATCACAACTTATTGTTTACAGTACGTCATAACTTTCAGAACAATTCTGTGTTTTGTTTATTCGTATGTTCATAAAGAAAAGTTTACTCTATATAAGAATATGTGGGTCTGTTACCTGCATTAATAGCCCTGGAACCTACAATAAAGAAGGACTGAAGGCACATCAGTAATGTTGCCAGCGCCATCTGGAAAAAAAATCATTTCATTAATCGATCATATATCTTTTTTTAGGTTCATAATCGTAATATAAATAAAGTGGTTTTTAATCGAAATAAGTTTAACCACATACAGAACCTTGAAATATTTAACCAAGTTCATAATCTAAACACGATTAATAAAATATAGAATCAGAATCACAATTAATCAGATTTACAGCCCATACACGTTTTTGATTAAACAAGCTTGTTATCTAAACACATTTAGCCAGGTCCAGAACCGAAACATATAAAACCATTTTCACAAACACAACACATTTAACAAGGTCCATAACCTGAACATGTTTATAACCAGATACATAATTCGAACATATTTAACCAGGTTCATCATCCAAGTAACCTATTTCAGGACCTACGTATACATTTAATTTAATTCACTAGCGATACTGAGCTCTTTTTTTTTTTACTAACTGTGCATATTACAATACATATCTTTGCTCTTATTTATTTTCGTAGGAATATCGTAAGAAATCACAACCTGCTTAAGCATTTAAACTATACAAGCTAATTCTTGAGATTGAAAACGTTTCCTTCTTTTGTTGTAATGGTCTGACTTCTATATGATGCTCTGGAAGTAAGTTCTGATAACACATAAAGTTACATGATTTTCTTTAGCACATCCTACTTTTAGAATAGATTTCACTATAACATTGGAATAGAAATCTTTGGGAACATATTAATAAGATTTTATTGATTTCCACTACAAAGCTTTAGAGTTTTACTGCCAATACTAGAAGGATTCGCTATTGCTGTAGAATGAATCAAGAATTTAGTCGAACATGTTACTGAATAATCAGATACAGCTTTAACAACCTAGGTAACATGGTATTGAATTTAATATTTCTGTGGCAATAATCCACTTTGTATCTCTTAATTAGTGAAATGGACATGGAAGAACTGCGAAAGTTGGAGGAGCAACCACGTGGGACTCTGCTCCGACCATGTTTCATGCGGTACAATACTGCTTCTTTACTGCTCTGAAATTTTATTAGCTGAATAAAGTCGACAATACTGCATTTTTATCATACATTGTATATAAACATATCTTGTTATGGCCTATAAATATAAGCACCCATTTTTAACAATGTGGTACCTCCCTTCCCTTGCTACAGATTTGGGATACTTTAAATTGTTGCTAATATACCGTAAAGGCACATTACATTTTTGTACCACATAGATGTTTAAAACATCAATATTTTTGTATGTTGTCTGAGAAGTTCACATTATTAAAAGTGGAGGCAATATCCCCATGAGTAAAATGTGGTTTAGCAATTAACCTTTCGATCATCATCTTCGGTGCCTATGACTGGTGGCGTGCATCAATCCAATCTGTGTCTTGTAACTGGTGGCGTGCATCAATCCAATCTGTGTCTTGTAACTGGTGGCGTGCATCAATCCAATCTGTGTCTTGTAACTGGTGGCGTGCATCAATCCAATAT